AAAGAGAAGGGAGTTGTTTTAAAATAGAGATCACATTAAAGCCATGGTATGTCATTTTGCCGCTAGAGTGCACATATTCATAACAAATACAGGCAGTATGTTGATGCTAAGATTGAGTGTGGAATCATGGGAGTTGCTGTGTTCATTACATCCTACAGGACACCTGCAAAACTCATGTTCATGGATGAGCTAAAGCAGTGGTCCCCATCCTTTTTACCACCTCGGACCGGTGAATGATTGACAATTTTACCACAGACTAAGAGGCGGTGGTTCGTAGGTTGCTAGGTGACCATCAAATGTTTTCTCAGAGAATGACGAGCTGACAAAACATTGCTGTCACTCTGATGCAAGTCTTATTTATGATAAAAATTACAAAGCACTGCAGTGTTTGGGTACTCTGTGTTTGTCTGAGATAATTAGTCTACTGAAATGTGTATATTCCATACAAGCTGAAGCTTATTGGTCAGTTCTTTTCATGTGACTCGCGAAGGCTCCCAGTATTTATTTAACTATGTGCGTCTGGAAGGCGTGAGCGTGTCACGATGTTTGTCACACCAACATTGGCAATAATGAACTTAGTGAACTCTAGAAAAGACACCATATGCAAACGGCCTATAAAAGACCACGGCATTTGCGATCTCCAGCAGTTGATCTTCTTGCACAGACATGGTGGTTTTATCTGATTTGTTGAAAAATGGGATGCATGGGATGCGATTCCTTGGCAGTTCACGGGTACTTCACTGGACCTTTTCCTCTAAGCCAGTGGTCACCAAACTTGTTCCTGGAGGGCCGTTGTCCTGCACATTTTAGCTCCAACCCTAATTAAACACACCTGAACAAGCTAATCAAGGTCTTACTAGGTATACTTGAAACATCCAGGCAGGCGTGTTGAGGCAAGTTGGAGTTAAACCCTGCAGGGACACCGGCCCTCCAGGACTGAGATTGGTGACCCCTGCTCTAAGCAAACATTTCGAAGACATCTGTTTCTTAATTATTTAGCTACTTGTGGGTTAAATTTGGGCGCTCAAGTTACCGATATGTAAGAGAGAGAATACGGTAGATTAAAAAAAAAGATTGTTCAGACTTGGATAATAAATAAATCGGAAACAATTAATGATTTCTTGTGCGGCCCGGTACCAATTGATCCACGGACCAGTAACAATCAGCAGCCCAGTGATTGAGGACCACTGATCTAAAGTATTTAAAACTTATTATTATAGTAGTATTAAGCAAGTGCTGATAATAGACAAGTTAGACTCCACATTAAAGCAGCAGAGCTTTTATTATGCCATGGTTGACCACATCTGGTTCTTCTGGTCGTGATCACATAATAAATACATTTAAGGGTTCTGTTATAATACTGCTCTTTTGAGACTCTGTTGAGATGCACATCATACAAAGCATCTTTAGTGTTTCCCTGTTTTCTACAAAACCAAACTGAAAAAAGAAGGCATGACAGGTCTGTGTCACTAGTTAAAATTATTATTCTGGATTTGAACATAGTTCTGAAGATTTTGGATAATGTATGTACACAAGTCAGCAAAAAATATAACACTGTTCTAGTTTGTTTTTGGATTTCTTAATTTTAAAAAATTATATATTGTACCTTTCAACTCTGACTCCATGGACAATATATGCAACCGATTAGTCTGCCGGCCTATTGTTATTTTTTAATATTGTATTTTACTTTTACTTAAAGTGGCATCACTGAAAAAGTGCAGGTTTTGTTAAAAAATGCTGGAAACTGATGTTTTTTTTACTTCAATTGAACTGTAAACAAGCTTAGGTGGACTTAAGAGGAGGACTAAACTATTCACTGACACCACAACTTTTTGAAGCATGTCTTATGCTGAAGCCAAAAGTGTGCTTGACTTGTCTCTTCGCTGTGCATCAAATTTTCAGATGTCTTCAAAAGGTTTGCTTCTCCTTTACTGCTTATATGTCTACGTACAAGATAAACCCATGGAGACTTCAAATGTGATTTAAAGTCAGGTCTTGCCACCAATTTATGCAGTTCCACAACTCCATTATAAAGTGCAATTAAAAGGGTAAAAGACAATGTCAGGTGAAAAAGCATTTCTTATGGTTAAGATGTGCCATCCAAGTCCAATGAAACTACACGCACCACCAAACTCCAATCTTGATGGTTAAAACAAAAAAAAAGCTTAGTTAATTAAAAACCAGAGGAACAGCTTTAACCTTGAGGGGATCTTGGCACTACTAATATTTAGCTGAATTATTGGCATTAGCTAATTACAAGCCTACTGTCTAACGGTCAGCGGGCTTTGCTTTGAAGTCAAGTGAAGCTCTTCACGTCACGGATGCGTGGAGAGAAGAAGGGAGGACAGGCACTGGATGAGCGCAGGCTGCAGGGTGTACCATCCTCCCTGATTTGATTTCCTGTCCGCATCCCTCCTGTCATTTACAAATGCAATTAGAGTCGAAGAAATAGGCATGGAAGAGCCGGGAATGGCTGCTGCAAATTTGCCAAATTAAACGGCATGCCACAGGCCACGAATTGCACAATTTATAATGATAATTAAAGGAGCATCAATCTGTGAAGTCTTCTGTGCACAACTTGAAGTATCAGCAAACTGCGGTTAGTTTTTGGGGAAAAAAGGGAGCGGGCGGGTAAGTGTTATTGTGAAAGAGATGGAAAGAGAGAGGGAGAGAGATGCTTGCAGCTCAATTAAAATCCACAAGTATAAACTTTGGCTGGGCAGGGTGACGCTTCCTGTTCTGGCCTGCCTAATCCCGAGACGGTACACTGAGAGAGAACAAAGGCAAACCCCACATGCATACACACACACCTACCCTCCACACACACCGGATATCTAAATCCCCTCAGAAACATGTTGGAAGGAAAGGAGGGGGAAGAATTCAGGCTGCTCGCGTGTGCAGTTTAGGTTTGTGCCTTGGGTCTAAACAAGTTTTAAACTTATCTGTTTATACATTTTCCACAAAATCCAGTTTAATGTACAAAACTTTTTTTAAAGAAAAAACTGCTAAAAGAAACTAAATAATAATCCATCTACAGAACTTTTCAAAGTTTATTTTTTATTCAAGAAACTAGTCATTTTGATTTAGTTTTGAATGTGACAGTAAAGACATTTGTGCTGTACGTTTAACAGAAGGTAATTTTCATGACCATTTTGTCAGTAAAGCCGGTTGTATTATCAGTAGTAAATCTCCAGCACCTGCTTTCAGATGTAGCAGTGTTTACTACACAAAGCCATAGTTCAGTCATAAGCTATGCAAAAAAATATATATAATCACAGACATTTTAACTGGATCGACTCTGAAATCGAAGATAATCATTCTGCAATTTCACAGTTGTTTGTGTCACTTCCTAGTGAACTTTTACTCTTTGTTGCTGCTACATCTGAAAGCACATGAAAATACCACATTAAGGCCCAATCCCAATTTTTTTCCTCTTTCCCCTTCCCTTTGGCCCTTGAAACAGTGTGAAGGGGAGGGGCTTCAAATTTTACTCCTAAGAAAAAAGACAGCACTACAACACCTGAACACATCATCATACGTCATCACAATCTCTTACATCATATGACATTGACAATGGCGACTGCTGTAGTTAATCCAGTTGCATTATTTTTTAGCCATTTATCTTCAGGAAATCACTGAAGGCAACGATATCATGTAATCATAACCATATAATGCGGCAATAAGCTTATAACTGTACTGTGCAGTTACATCATAGCCACATTCATCTCAACACACAAAAACAACAAGCATTATACCAGACACTGAAAAAAGATCATTCCAAGCCACTCTTGAGTGTCATCAAGAGTCAGATGTGAAAGTATGTTGTGAAAAAAACTAATAAATAAAAAACAAAAAATACTAATTTGTGGATCTCCTTACTTCCGGGTGCAGCTAAGCAGCCGTTGTGGTTGGTGTATTCTGGGAAATTTTCTTACCATTTGGTTTCGAATTTGGTCCAAGAAAATGTTAATTTCAAGAGCTGTCTAGCCCTTCCCTGTAGCCCTACACCTTTAAACTAAAGAGAATTCAGAAAAATTGGTAAAGGAAGGGCTAAGGGGTAGAATTGGGATCGGGCCTTAATGACATGTCTTTTCTTTTAACACCTTCAGATTGAGTGTATGAAATAACTCATTCTATGAGATGAGTGGGGGTCACCAGGACACCAGGTTTCTAGGACAGATTCTGGAGTAATAGTTAAGTTAACTTGTTAACTTAATAGTTAAGTTAATAATATTCAGTTTTGCCATCATAGAAGTTAGGTCAGATGAGAAATGGTCGTGCCCAACTGAGCCTGGTTTCTCTCAAGGTTTTTTCCTTCACTTTTGTCAACTGGTGAAGTTTACAATAGTATCTGGATGCAGCCTTTATGATGCAAGCTGAATTTGCATCACTCAGCGATGCCATGTCAGACACAATACACTCAATGGAGCGAGTGACATCACTGGGACGGGTAGGGTTAGGGGTGGGGTTAGGTGAGCCCATTAAAAAGCATTGAATGCAGCTCAGATTGCAGTGCATCCAGACCCCTCTCTAAGTTTGTTCCACATCACTGGCTTTCTTGGATTGAGACTTGTGGAGCTGTGCATCGATGGATTTGCTCTTCAGTGTTTAGACTTCCAGCAGTAAAACTTAAACCACACTAAACTAAACTTCAACTCTGAAAACTGGACTGACACAGTTTTAACTGCCTAGAACTTCTATATTAAGCTGCTTTATACAATTTACATTGTAAAAGTGCTATAGAAATAAAGATGAATTTAATTAAATTAAACATGAATATTATTTGAGTCTTCAACTGCCAATGCATTTCTATATATGCTTTATATATATATCCCTGTTATAACAAATACAACATCTCATCCTCAGCACAGAATAACTTAATTTTAACCCAGTATATTGGTTTAGAAGAATACCTACAAATGGGGCTTTTAAATATACATTTTTAGAGTGAGTGACTGCTGTAAAACAGAGTACTGTAAATGGAATCCAGGTGTTTTTACCTCCAGAATGTGCTCATCCTGTTGTTCTCTGTCCAGCTTCCGAGACGTAGTGGTGACCAGACCTGCAAACACATGAGCACATTTTAACAACCTTGTAAAACCGTCCATATAAAACCAAATTAATTTAGTGCAAGCTGTTAATTAAAATAAAACTTATCAGTGAGAATGCACAGACATTCTGAAAGGGAGGTTTTTGTCAGATTTATTTAACGTCTGGTTGCAATATGGTAGAATAACCCCCATACACACACACATACGTTAAATACCAGAGATTCAGCTGCACAGAACTGCAGAAAAGGGGAATTGTCAGGACTGTTTTAAAGCTGAACAAACAGGCTCGCATTAAACACACACTCACACACTACCTTCCACCAAACACACAACACTCATTATAAAGAGCTTCAAGCTCTGAAAGGATGAGTGAAATGTCAATGCAACCATCACTGGGTTTACTCTACGTGTGAATCTTTTAGTAGTTGTGTGTTTTTTTCTGCGGTGGGTTTTTGAAGATTTCTCTCAAGGGCTTTTCTTTATATTATAGCAAAACACCATTTGAGCTGAACGGAAATCCAGTTGGAAGTGAATTCAAGTGCCGAACCCAGAGAGGAGTGTATAAACAGGCAGACAGAGATCGAACAACAATGCAAATGAGCAAGCGCTTCTGTAAAGAGCGTTTCGATTGCAGATAATAAGCAGACTTGTGTTTCTCCGTCAGGATAATTGTACATTAGATGGGGCAGAGAGCACGCCGGACGTTGCCAGGCCCGGCCACACGAGAGACGCCTGCCGACCGCACCACGTCTGATTAGTGCAGAAAAAGGATTTCCGAAACCAGAAGGCATCAATAGCGCACATGCAGGCTGCAGAAAATAGCCTGGCCGCAACACGCCTCCTGCTCCTGCTCAAAACTGTGTTAGGCTGCTAACCGTCTCCTTCTCCTTTTCTCTCGCAGTCGTACACGGAAAATGAAAATAAACTGAATGTGGGCAGTCATGAAAATCTCTGCACGGTAAAACGGTATATTAAAGGCAACGCTATGTTTATAGACCAAGAACCTAACTGGAATGGAAAAGGACATTAAATAGGAAGGAATTTATTGTACATCCAATATATTTTTACACTCTTAAGTAATAGCATTTTCGAGCTAATCTAAGGCTGTGTTTTTTGTGTCAATATGATCACAAACAGATGATGCAAAAACAGGTGTGAACAGGTCTAAAACAGTTTAAAGGAACACTCCAGCTTTTTTTTTTTTTTTGAAAAAGGCTCATTGTACAACTTAAACAGTTGACTTGAACCATTTTAAATCCATTCACAGCAGATTTCTTTTAGCTTAGCTTAGCATAATGAATTGATTAAAATTGAACATTAGAATTTCATTAAAAAAAAGAGTGTTAAAATTGATTGTTCCTTTGAACTTTTCCAATTTTGACCACTTCACTTGTGTGTAGATGTGGTTGAATGTGTTCAAACTGTTACAAAACCCACCTGTACTCTCTGCTTACTGACCTCATTTGTAAACATTACAGAACATTATTAAAAAGTGCTGACTAGATGGGATTTGAACTTTCTGTCGACAATCCTATGTTTGGTAAAAAATAACAATAAGGGAATGTTCTCTTCAAAGACCTAATAATAAAAGGACACAGTGTTCAGCATAGTTTTATTAGCATAGTTTCTTGTTTAAAAGCAATTTTTTCAGTGTTAAAAAAATCTATAAAGACAGTTAGTCATTTTACTTTATACAAAACAAGTGTAGTATAATTTTCATCAGTCCTTATGTCGCATAATCCCTTGAATAAAATGTCTGTTTTTATCCATAATGACACTCATTCTGATTACTTTTAATGTTCTAAAATATTCATTAAAGTTAATGTAAAGTTATTTGTAAACAATATATTATAAAATTTTAATTTAGCCAAAGTTTACATGTCCAAACTATAAATGCTGCCTCTGAAACTCATCAAACAAAGGAAAGGGAGTTATATAAGTTAATTTTTTTTCTTTCATTAATCAGTTTATAAAGTATATTTAATTGATTTTACCAATTTAACAATTATGCAGCATTATTAACTGTAAAAATATGAAAATTATGCAAATATGACTTTTTTCTAATAAAGACTATGTCATGAATCTACATAATCAATTGAAGTCAGAATTATTAGCCCCCCAGAATTTTTGGCCCCCTTGTTTATTTTTTGACCAAATTCTGTTTAACAAAGAGAAGATTTTTTCAACACATTTCTAAACATAATAGTTTTAATGACTCATTTCTAATAACTTATCTTTGCCATAATGATAGTAAATAATATTTGACTAGATATTTTTCAAGACACTTCTATATAGCTTAAAGTTAAAGGCTTAGCTAGGTGAATAAGTTAACTAGGCAGATTAGGGTTATTTAGCAAGTTATTGTATAAGACTATGTAAAAAAGAAATAGCTTAAAGGGGCTAATCATTTTGACCCTAAAGTGTTTTTTTATATTAAAACTGCTTTTATTCTAGCTGAAATAAAACAAAAAGACTTTCACCAGAGGAAAAAATATTATCATTATTAATAATAAATGTCCATGCTCTGTTAAACATCATTTGGGAAATATTTAAAAGAGAAAAAAATCTAAGGGAGGCTAATAATTCTGACTTCCACTGAATATGCTCCATATGGATGCACATTAAACTAAACCCCATTTTTCAGCTGAAATGAACAACTTTGCACCAGATATCATTCCACATGAGCATATATGTGCACTGCTGCTGGATAGACCTTAAGAACACGCTGCTAAAAAGACGCCCATGTTTGTACCCACAGTCCATTTCTTCCCCAGCCAAAAAAGCAGTGGTCTCCTGCATGGCAAACTAAGCATGGCCAAAGAAAATTACAGTTCAGCCATTTTTGGAAAAAGAAAAACAAGAACATTCAAGCTGAAAGATGCAAGAGTTAACGTGTAGAGAAAGCGAGCAAGAAAATACAAAAGAATCAAACAAAACAACTTGACAAATGACTGAATGACCATACAAACAAATTAAACGAACAAACACACAAACTTTTGTGTACTTCAATTCAATTCAACTGAGAACACAAACAAATGTAACAAACAAACTAACAAACAAATAAATAATTAATAAATAAATATTAAACAAACTCACAATTACCAGTGATCTAGCAGCTGCAGATCACTGGAGAACTGCAAATCTGTCAGGGTACTGGACTTCAATTTCTATTAAGCACCTCACACACACAACACACCAGTTCCAGTTCTCTCCCTGATTGCACACACACAGCTGGAAATGAACCATAGACTGATTACATGGACTATATATTCACCTCTCTCTCACACACACACACACACACTCACACACACATTGCTGAGTCCTGTTTTAAGTTTACCTGTAACATTGTGAAATGTTTTCTTTGTCTAGTCTTACTTTGCCTTTAGATTCTTTTCTTGTTTCAATGTTTATCCTGTTCGCAGCCTGCACCGACCTCTGAAAATGAACACTGAATAAATATGTATTGTTTTGGTCATAAAAAACATTATTAAAATACATCAAGCCATAATTTCAAGGTATTTGTACAAGTCAGGATTTGAACTCGGGCCATTTGCAGTTACTTTGTGCACACGCATGAGCCACTAGCCTACATGAGATTTTTTCTACCCTGTCAGTTAAGCGTAAATTTCTCAGGTGTCGAAACACTTCTCAAATGACCAATGCTTTGAATCGCTTTAGTCACGTGACCTGGGTGTTTCGGATCATGCTTTAGTGCAGTGTTTCGAAACACTTGCTCTTCGGGATCTCGTCACTGTGTTAAAACATCAGTTTCATGTCAGCCATCTCTAGCCTTTAAAGCAGGGGTGGGTAAACTCTGTCCTGGAGGGCCGGTGTCCTGCACAGTTTAGTTCCAACTCTGATCACACACACCTGCTTATAGATTTCTAGTGATCTTGAAGACACTGATTAGCATGTTCAGGTGTGTTTGATTAGTGTTGCAGCTAAACTATGCAGGACACAGGCCCTCCAGGACCGAGTTTGCCCACCCCTGCTTTAAAGCCTTGCCTTGTTACTTTGTTTATCCTGTTTTCCACCTGCACCGACCTCTGTCTTTGACCACAACTATGCTATTGGATTACTCCTATGATGCCATTTGCTCCTGTTTGACCATTGCCTGTTTAAGCTGTTAATAAACTGTGTTTGGTCCCTCAAACAATTTTAACAAATAAACACGTTTGTGTATTTCAATAAAATTAATTTAAACTGATCACGCATAAATATATAACTAACAAAATAAACTTTTGTGTATTCCAATTCCATTCAACCAACAAAAGAAACAAATTTAACAAACAAACTTTTGTGTATATCGGTTAAATAAATTTTAACTGACCATATGTAAAATATTCAAAAACAAACAAACCTTTGTGTACTTTAAATTAATTCAACTGACCACACAAACAAACTTAACAAACAAACAACAAACATTTTGTGTATTTAAAAAAAAAATCTTTCAACTGACCTCAAGTAAAATATTTTACAAACAGACAAACTTTTGTGTATTTCGAAGCTGTTTCATTTTATTTTATGGTCATTGACAATACATCAGCCATAATTGAATGAACATAGTTATAGTTGACCAAACAACTAGTTATAAAGCCTACCAAGGACACCAGAAAACTAGCTTAAATTAATCTACTAGCTATCAGATGGTGTTGTTCACCCTCATTATTTCTAAGAAAGAAAATTAATTTTGCCGAGAGATTTCATTATTTGATCTGTCTGTGTAGTCTGAGCTACTAACAGCTGCGTTTGTTTCGCTGAGCACAAGCATGTGACCCTCGGCTAAAAATCCTCTCCACTAACCGCTCAACTCCTTCAGTAAACACATAGTGAAATCTCACATATAATGATAGCGCTGCCACACTGCCTCTAGAGAACAGAAATGGATAAAAATCAGAAAGAAAACAGAAAAAAAGAGCATCGAAATGCCTGGGTAAATGACACTCTGGCCTTTTCTCTAAAACACTTCGGCTTGGGAGGGAAAAAAAGAAGGGCTATTTTCTCTTTCTAG